GAAGCAGCCCGGAAAAGGGTCCCTAGTTGGGCTGTTCGCATACCGTGTGCCGTGTTTTATGAGTAGCACACGGCGAACTTCTCAAGGCCCATGGAATCAAGGATTAAAGCGTTGCTCGCCTCGCAGTTTTTGTTTTTGTCTTGCACGCGCCTTTGGACGGACAGTCGGACTCCGAAATTTGCAACCCGAACGAAAGGCGCTGAGAATAGCTTCAAGTTCTGGGTGCTTCTTTGCGGGTGCTCCCCCCCCCAAACGTGAGAACTGTTTGCTGAATGGGTTGCAATCAAGGCGGTCAATCCCGGGTTCCCATTCCACGGTTCCCCCTGACGCTTGGTCGGTTTGAAGTTTCCTGAACGTCTTGCACCGAGAATAGGTGAAGCCAGGGGAGAGAGCCACTTGGCATATTCCCTTTCGGTTTGGTTCATAGGGTTCCACTGTCTCAGACGTTATTCCTAGGGAAATCCATCTTTTTTTGCCCAAGGACACCTCTGCCCTTTGGTATCCCAACTGGTGCCGATGGATTCACGGGGGTTTTGTCTAGTTGAGGTCTTTGGTACCTTTCAGGCTCTTGAAGCATATGGCGCCGTTTCTTTGCGCCGGTGCGCGGTTGACACGAAACCAATGCTCCTTCTGGGGGCCGTGGACGTTTCCATTTCTGGGTGGACTTGATTGGTATGAACATGTCCTGGATGTTTCCATTTCTGAAAGCCTCCACACGTCCTGCACCAGTCGGCAGGCGTTTTATCCCAGAATTTGTGCTTCCATCCCAACTGGTGCGAAGTGGATTTCGTCCATCCACACAAACAACAACGGTGCAGTGCGGAAAAGGCCTCAGGGTCCTCTCAAATATTTGTCGAAACGCAACTCAGATTTCAGATAATGTTGACCCCCTATTCATCAACCCCAGTTTATTCATACGGGGGTGTCAATCTGGGCTTAGTCGGGAATCATTTGGAGGGCCTCCACCCCCCCATGAATAAACTGGGCTTGATTAATGGGGCGTCAATGCGGCTTGGAGTTTGAATTTTTCAGCGGTGCCAAGTACATGGATCCGGAATCGTCGGAGCGAGAGGCCTCGGCTGCCTTCCCCGAAGCGCAGGCGAGCTGAGTGGCGCCCTTTTTTTTGGTTGGTTTCGAGGGAGGCCAAAGGGACACCCCCACGATTTTGGGGGTGCTTTGTGTTAAAGCACACCCACATGTCTGCGATTTTGAAACGGCCCGGGGCGGTTTCAAAACCTCATGTGACGGTTTTTTGGGATCCGAAGATGTGTAGATTCCGGCAACTGCACATGAATTCTCATGTAAAGGCATCTGTCGTTTGATGTTTTTCCGTGGGATTCAGACACAGGAACTGGAAGACGCGGGTGCCAAACAAGGGACTCATGATTGATGGTGCCCAGCCGCATGACTCGGCTCAGTGACAAGGGGCTCAGTGACAAGGGTTGCTGGTGAGTTCTTTGGAACCTCAGAGATCTACTACATCCATTGCCACAGCTTTCTCGTAATCCCAAAGGCTAAAACCCGAAATGATAAAATGGGTGTCTATTTTAGGTTAACCCCCCTTTTGGTGGTTTTAAAGGGAAACTCAAAGGAAGGCGTGCCGAATCCTCCACGAGACAGAAAGCATTGGTCCCAGTCTCAACCATAGTGTGTTTGATGAGACATATCATGCCCTTTGTGAATTTCCATTCCCTTCCCCTTTTTCCCCTTCTCCCAAACACAGGTCTCTACATTTTCCCTTTTGTGATTCTAAACATCAACTGACGTCTTCCTTTCATTTCCGCTTCATGTCCTTTTGATTTTACCCTGAATTTCCCTTGTTTCCCTTCATTTCCCCTTCGTTTCCCTGTCAATTTAGTTTGCCCTCAATTTCCCTCCACGCCCCTTGATTACTCTCCATTTCCCTTCATGTCTACATGCCTATTTCCCTTCATTTCCCTTCATTTCCCTTCATTTCCCTTCATTTCCCCTTCATTTCTCCTTGTTTTCCCCTTCATGTTCCCTTCGTTTCCAATTCATTTCCCTGTCATTTTGCATGTCCCCATTCATTTCCCCTTCGTTTCCCTTTCATTTCCTCTTCATTGCCCTTCATTTCCTTGTCATTGCTCTTCATTGCACTTTCATTCCCCCTTCATGTCCCTCTTCATTTCCCCCTCATTGCTCCTGCATGTCCCTCTCATTTCCCTTCATTCCGGTAAAGAGCTCCCTGGTTTGCCAGACTGGAGAGTCATCATAGTCATCAAATTACCGTGCGGTATGTGGTCCCCCCCCCCCAAAACCCTACGTATCAGACGTGTGCGGGGTGGAGAAGGGGAGGTTAACCTCTATCCTCTCTTAGGTGTCCGGCGGCCATGTATTAGACCTTCTGCCTGTGGTGGTTCGTTTAGTTTTATTTGGGTTGGGGGGGGGGGGCGTGTGGTGCTCCCAAACCCGCGCGACGCGCTCTTCACTCCGCTCGCCTGTTCGGCCTTTCAAGCGCCAGGCCCGAAAGACGGTCCAGGAGGGTGGACGAAGCCTCAGGGTTCCGTTTTTTCCGCACTTCTCAGAGGATTCTGTAAAATTTCAATGGAAGACGAAGACCCCTGCATTAGACACCCCGGAGGTTGCTTTTCGGGGGTCTCAAAAATCTGGTCCCAAAACCTGGGAGTTTGGCGCGGGGAAATCAGCCGCCTGGCTTGGCGAACTTGAAGCGAACAAAGAAAGGGAGCTTTGCGAACGCTGAGTTCTATTCCCAGGAGGAGATTTTGGAAGACTACTTTCCTTTATAGTTGTTTCCGCGCCACGCCCTGGAACGAATCCATTCCCCGTTGTGAAATAACGCCGGGAGGCGTCATTGGCCAGCTGACGTGAACTCAGGGAAGAATGACAGCCTGCTGAGCTGTCTTTTTGAATCATGACCTTGGTGCAGGTAGGCTGGGTTCTGTGGGTTGGCAAGTGCGCACTGCCACCCCACACTTATGAGCGCAGGCCTTGCCGTATGCGGAGTGCTCAGATCATTTGGGTGTCTCATTTTTGGGGAACTTCCTTTTGGTTTGTTTTTGCAGAATCTCAAAGAGAGACAGACCCAGCCATGCCAGTCAGTTGTCCCACTGACCTTCATCCCGAAGCGTGATATCTTAACTTCCCAGCGACGGATGTTGTATTGGGCGGTTGGAAAGCAACCCCGCCCCATTAGACATTGGATGTGTGGACGCTTGGTTTCGCCCGATTTGAGTCATGCCTTCCAAGGCGCAACACACCCTTTGCCCTGTAATGCCAGGTTTTGACTGTGACTCACATGACCTCTTTATTGGTTGCGTGTAAATACACATACAACGGGTTGACAGTGTTCAACTACTGCTGCGGTAGCCTAGGGTCAAACATGTAATTTGTAGGATCTTGCCCTGCCAGAGTGCGCAGGTTTTTGAAGCCGGGAATTCTTCTGTAGCGACTCATCTTCAAATCCCCGGTTGGGTACATGTGTGGCCGCTGCTTTCCGCGGGCTGTGGCTCAAGCAATTCCTGCGGGAATTGCCCTCTCCGTTACTATGAAGCTTGGAGCCGCAGTGGCTCCTCGGTCTGCTTTTGCTGGATATTGGTGTGTCTTCTTCGGACACCTTTTTGTGGGTTGTGAAAAAGGGGAAGCAAAGGCCACCCACTCTCGGCCTCGCCGATTGGGAGAGGAACCCTCGTACAAGATAGGGACTTGTATTTCCATGTGTAACCATCCAAACCGGATGTTGAGACAGCCCCGTTTGTCACGGTCTATACCCTGAAAGTCCAAGATGCTGTGAGCCCCCAAAGATGAAATCCGCTTCCGCTCCCGTTCTTTCTGGCTATTTGGTAACGGAATTGACTGGATCCACAAGAAGTTTGGCTTTTGGCAAAGGGATCTCGCCAGCAACCAAGAATGCCCAGTGACATGCCATGGGTCAAAATCCCGTACCCCAGTGAACATCCCAATCCCCAAAATAGGTTCTAAAATGGGTGGTGAGTTCACCCACCAAAACGGGATCCCAAAACGGTTTTGACAACCACAGCCACACGTCTTTGAGTGGCTCTGAAATTGGCCAATTCCACCCGAATGGTCCCCTGAGAGCTGAGGCGGCGCTGCTGCTCTTGCTGGCGCCGGCCACTGCCAGCAAGGCGCGAAGCGAGCGGCGGGCGAATACGGGGGGGTTTTGGGAGCTCCAAAAACGGGGGCCCCGGGAGTCAAATGTCGACCCCGTATCTAAGTAGAACCCGTGCTATGATGAAGGGGCGTAGGTCCATTTTAGGCTAGTTTGGTTAGATGGGTTCCACTGGTTTGGATTGGTTTAAGCCCATTCTTCAGGGCCATTTGCTACCAACAGGACACCTATGTTGAGGGGGTGTTCCCTCAAGTGATGAGTCCCTACTAAAGGGGGTTGCAACTCAACTAAAAGGACGTCAATAATTGTAAGCTTCCATTTGCTTAAGAGTATTTGTCATTTTCTCCGGTTGATTTTAAAGGGAATCTACTGGGCACATGTTTTTTCAGGGGACTCAAGCCAATGGTGGAAACCCAACTGGGTTGTTCAGGGGGAGATCCTTGTGGCCAAGGTTGCCGTTGTGGAGTTCGGATAGGCAAACATGCCCTCCCCATGTTGAAGAACCCGGCGGACCTCCGAGGTTCTTCCTTCAAAGTTCTAGTGCTACCTTCCCCATTCTTTGCAGGGATCCGAGTCTTTCTAGAAAACCTCCGGAAAATCAAGGGAACCCATCCCTAGTCTTTCCAGGGATCCGAGTCTTCTAAAGAAACCCAAGGGAAAACGGATCCGGTTTTTGAAAAGAACGATGGTTGAAAAGAATGGGGAATCAACCCTTGGAAGATGCTAAAACGAAGCTTCGGCCCAAGCTACATGCTCAAAATGCCAACGTCGAATCCCCGCTCGGATGAAACCCTGTAGACAGGGTTAGCCCATCCACCAGGTGCACTCCAGCAGAGGCCGGGAAATGCCGAAAACGGGGTCGGGAATCCGCGCCATCCGTGGCGGGAGTTTGACCGGAGGCATACAAATTGTTGGTCTTCTCTTGGTTTTCAAACAACAAACAACGGCAAACATCATCGGACACTCAGTTCCTCAGTGGCACACTGCTTAAAAGATGTTTGTTTGGCTGCTCGCCCACAGATGGTCGACCCCAAGACGGCTTCCCTTTTCTGGGTCACTGAACAGAGTTGAATCGGCTCGTCGGTGAAAGGACACCATGAGGACAGGTGCCAGTGGCAAAACGAATCAGCGGTCAAGGTAAAATCGCCTCTGACCTTTTAGGCTCCACTTTTGAGGTTCCCATTTTTGGTGACCCAGCTTTGATTTCTGTCATTTGGCTCAAGGCTCCACCGCTCTGAGACTCCGGGATCGCACGGACGTGTTCAGTCTTGGCATGGACATTGGGGGAGGCGACGGCTTATAGCCGGAAGTACGACGGACGACTCCGTTGACGCCGCGACTCGTCGCAACTTGCCAAAGAAGTGGATCGAGTGTCAGTACGAAGACAAGAGCTCGGGCGTGCGGTTGCAATTCACGCGACAAGTGGGTGATATTGACCCCAGAATGGCAAGGTTGGTGCAAGGTACAGCGTCGGTCTTCATTGACGAGTGCTTTAGCAAGGGGCGGTGAGCTGCACGCTTTTGGCAGGTCATCAGATAACACCGCCCACACTTTTATGGTTGAAATCTGTGTGCCAAGGAAATTCATGCTCTGACCGATGGACACAGTTGCAGAGCAGACAAACGAGATTGCTACGCCACAAAATGAAAGCGTTCGGCAAGGTGAGTAAAATCTTCGGCGAGATCAAACCGCGCCTCAATTCCCCACTCTGGACAGGCAGGTTTAGCCTGCAGCGCTCTCTTGCTTAAGACGCTTGATGTTGGTGGCTTGCCGTATGCTGGTGCCTGCTGCCTCAAACGCGAAGACCTCCTTGGCCCATTGAGAGGCTCACCAACCCGTTGGCTCTATGTCAAACTCGGCGCACGCAGGAACCACACGACAGACAGGCCGAGTAAGCTTTGACAGCTTCTTCTTTTCTACCAAGAAGGTGTCACGAAGGTCACTGCGCGTGAACACTTGGCCGCGCATTTTATGACCGCGCTGGGGTTTGGGGAGAGTCTGCGCGTAGTTCACTGTGGCAAAGGGACAAATCTGGCTATTTGGCGCAGAATGATGTGACCCACTGACTAACCTACACAGGTGTAGAGGCAGACCAACAATGTGCTACACCTGATGCCCTTACCCCGTTGAAAATCGTGGTTCATGTCGCGGCGAGTGATTGCAGTTTGTTTTCAAGTGCTCGGGGCGAGTCAGACAAGCGACAGGGGAAACTTGCTGCACCCTGCTGCAACGCGTGTTTTGACGCAGCAGCTGACACGTCTTGTGCTGCAGCTGCCCCGGCCGAACAGTCCAAAAAGGTGCCCTTGTGCTACATGATGGCAGTTCTGTCAAACAGGGGCACTACTGTGTGCTTCTCCATGGCTGGAATGCCCGCAAGTGGATTCTCAAAAAGGCCGCGAGTGTGCCAGAAACAGTCAAGCCCTGATGAGGCGCGGACTTTGGCAAGAGACCAAGTGTATCTTGCGCGCCCTGGCGTAGAACCTCAGTTTAGGGGTTTTCGAGCCATTCTTTGTTTTATAGCTACGCATTGCCTTTCAAGAAGCTTCGGCAGCTCCAACCATGAGCCGATGGTCGTTAGTTCCATCTCTAGCCTCACGCGCGGACCGCGCACGTTGCCGCTGCGGCGAATCAAAAAACCATCTGTTTCGGAACTTGCTTGGAGGGGTGGCACGCAGAATGCTCACGTATTGTTCTACGTCTGGCAGTGAAAAACTGCTGGTAGAGCTCCAGGGGATGGGCTTCAGGGAGAACAAGGAAATAAGAGGTCGCCGCTAACATATGTGTCCCTTTTAAGTTAGCTTGCTTAGAAATAGCCGGGCTCTAACTTAGACATTCCTTTCCCGCACGGATCAAAGAAGTCGTTAATCTCGCAGTGCCTAGGACCCATACATACGTGTATGCAAATCTACATAGACCTGGTTTTCAGGGCAAATAGGGATGACCATCAACCCCTCAACGATGGACGTCAGACAACGCGCCTAAGGGCATATATATATATATATGTATATATATTCGGGGCCTGACTCCCACACTCAGGGTCCACCTTCTTTTTCTGTTTCTTTAATTTCAGTTCCTTTTTGTTTCTAGACCACCACCGGAAACTCTAGGAAGATGGTTTTTCTTGCCAAAGAACGACGGTTGAAAAGCATGGGGAGCCACCCCCTAGAATGGAAGTTGACAAGGTTCTTAGCCCAACATCTGGTGTTTTTGGCGTCAGGACTTGCCATCTCCTTCGAGGACTTCTTGCACTTCCACGGCCGCAGCTACGAGCTCGGGTCAGAGGCAGGGATTAGACCTTGGGACAGCCAGGTTTCGACGTGTTTGGCAGCACCTCAATGGTGGAGTCATTTGCTCTCCCTTGAACCCACCCCCAAAAGGGCACCCTCGAAAAA